TTATTATTATTATTATTATTATTATTATTATTATTATTATTATTATTATTATTATTATTATTATTATTATTATTATTATTATTATTATTATTATTATTATTATTATTATTATTATTATTATTATTATTATTATTATTATTATTATTATTATTATTATTATTATTATTATTATTATTATTATTATTAATTATTATTATATTTATCGTTCCAGCTCCTTATTCAGAATCCTAATTTGAATATTTTTATACTATAATGAAGTGGGAAGGAATGATAAACAGAATTGATGAATAATTGTACAAAGAATATTTCTAAAAACAATAATTTGGCCACAGTATAATTTCATGCCTTGTGCACTTCGTGCAAATTGCTATTAAAACGAATGTATTACTGGAATCTGGAATGATTTGGAGGTTCCGGTTGTACCGGTTGTACCGGTTCCGGTTGTAAGTATGAATAAATGCATTTTTGAATAACCGAGTAAGCATAAAGGAAATTACGGCTGGAAAAAAATTCCCATTATCACCGAATATTTCGGTAAGTTTTATTTTTTATTTTATATTTTTTTTTGTTTATTATTCCTTCCCCATTTGCTGCATAAAGCAATAGTCATGTCGAATTGAAATAAGTATACAAATAAAACGGAACAAATTTAAATTTAAATTTATTACTTTCTTCGCATGTAGCCAAATCGTTCATTTCTTTCTTCGATGGCTTTCGATGTTGTGTATTTGTCAGCTTTAGAAAAGAAAAAGAAGGAATGAACAAAGGTAAGTTAATTTTCAAAGCTTTTCTAAATTCAAAAAAAAAGAAATTCGCAATCATCAAAATCAAAGAATGTATAACTAATAAGACAGCACCTTTTTTCCATTTTCGGAAACATTTAAAAGCAATTGGTTGTCTATTGAACGAAACAAGTTTACTAATTTATAGTTTACTAATTAATTGATTTTTAGTAAAAAAAATTAACTAAAAATTTAGGATTACTAACTGGATGGGTAAACCAAAAAATGGAAATAATTATGTTAGGAAATGAATAAATTAAATTAACGACAAATATTAATATTTATGGTCAAAAATGCGATAATTTTGAAAAATTTTACTTTACGCTTCTTGTGCATTTTCACTTGATAACAATTGTCTGAAAATTGGCAATTCTTTTTCCTTACCACTTCGAAGTAATTTTTTACTTATTTTTTTCTTTTGTTATTTTATCAGTTCTAAGGAATTGTAAAATTTAATTCATTTATAGCTTTTGGCTATTATTTTCTAGAAATAATATTGGATTCATTGGTTCAATTACAATGTTCAATTACAATTACATGTTAAACTAGTCAAGAGTTCTTTTTTCGTTTTAATTAATGAAACGAACGAAAAAAAAGCAATCGTCATTCGATGTGCATTTTAACACACCTTCCAAGGAATGATTAAATTAAGAAGGAAATCAGCCGCCTACAACAGATTATTTATTAAATTGATAACAATATACAATATGAATTAAGTACGATCGAAATCATTTTTATATAACCTGAAAATGGCGCAAGAGTCCCATAATATTAAAAATTATGCAAAATTATTATGCATTTTTGTAATGCACTATATATTTTTCAAATTGAAATTATTATTATTATTATTATTATTATTATTATTATTATTATTATTATTATTATTATTATTATTATTATTATTATTATTATTATTATTATTATTATTATTATTATTATTATTAATTATTATTATTATTATTATTATT